AAAAAGCCTGACATTTGATGATCTCACTTAAACAAAAAGCCAAGCAAAGGCACTGTATTGAGACCAAAATGTATTTGTGGCTACCATGGGCGAGGGGGAATGGAAAAGCGAGAGGTAACACTGAGGGGAAAATCACATTGATTATGGGAAGGGTTGCACAGCCAATTCTTGACATTGTTGTCAATAACTCTAGCCCTGTAAAAAGGTGAGCTTGCAAAAGCTGTATGATGTGTTTATAACAATGTCCAAAAATAATAATAATCAAGGAATAGGAAAGCTAAGCAACTCCTCTGTTAAAATAAGTTACTGATAAACTAATAAAAATAGTGGCCTTAACATATGTACAATCATGCCTGATTCAATCAATGTATGGCTTGTGATAAGAGTTGTACGAGCCTCCAATAAAATGATTTCAAACAAACAAACAACGGCTTAAACACATCTTAGGGAAGAATGTTTTATTGCTATTGCTAAAGAGTTCTGAACACCATCACTGTATTCCAGTAAAACTGACATCGGACTCAAGTTACAATATGACACATAACCCCACAAAGCACAAAAAATCAGAACAAGGCCCAACCCCCTGAAGAGTGTTAGGATGAAGAAAGCAGAACAAAGAAGCATGTGATCACAGCTGCATGACCTGTACCAGGGAATCATGGGACATCCTTTCAGAGTACTAAAAAGCTTGTGGGGGGAAGGGGGGGTTACGTGTAGGGGGGTGGGGGGTAGGACTTCAGTGATAAAGATGCACAGGCAGGAAAAGTGATACTTATTTGGATCGCGTATACGAACATTTCACACAACACTGTGCTGTTCTCATCTGTGCTATGACTCCTAGGGCCCAGGCAATCCTGGGCTTTAACAGGGCCAAGATTTAAAAAACCACATTAATGGCCGTTTCAATAGTGACGGACATTTACTGTGCCTGTTAATGTCTGCAAATGGACTGGTTACCTCCGTTCTAAAGAAAATAGCAAGTGAGGCAACAGCCAAGGTAAAAGCGCTTTCAGATCGCTCAGGGGCAACGAAATACAGACGCAGATAGATCCCAGCTAGACCACAGCCACTGTGCACTCTGACTACGTGGGCACCGTTGTCACAGGAAAAAGCTTACCTATATTTGGTTAGCAAAGGGTCAACCATCATCTCCCTGACCAGCATTCCATCAGTCAAAAACTGAAAAATAAAAACACGAAGTTTCAGAAATAATCCGTTCACCCTGTATCTTAATGATTTTTTTTAAAAGGTTCAGGTAAAACTAACATGCTTACAACCACGTCACAAGCAAGCATTCCTTTCCTTTAAGGGAAATTCCTTAAAAGGACCGTGAGGCCGTGCACGGACGTTTTAGTGCTAGAATTGTTCACCAACAAAACCTCAAGCAAAGGATCCTGCTGGGGCTCGCAAATCTCTCTGCAGAAATTTCTCCTGCATGGATCTTCTGCACACCGCCAGGTCCCTGGGCCTCCACCTCTGGTGCTCTGGATGAAGAGGCAGTGAAGTCTGCCACAGTCGGTCTTCAAGCTCCCAGACTGTGGCCTTGCAGCTCTTGAGCTTACTAACCCCAACTCCAAATGGTGTTATTTTAAGGAGACTGCGGGCGGGCGGCGTAAGTGCTAAGCTTGATCAGCCATTTAAACCATAGCAGCTGCAGCTGGCTCCACAGAGGAAAGGTGTGGCAGCCTGCTTGTGTAAAGTCTGACACCCTAGGAAATGTCATGGAACGGGTCTACTCTGTCCTATAGGTTTGCTGAGGGTCAGAATCAAGTCCAAGGCGACAGGTTTGGGTTGGGTTGTGGCTAAGAACGTGTGCTGTGGTCTCAAAGGCTTCGGCTTCAGACCCCGGCTCTACCCTTTGCGTAGCTGTCTGAACCTGAAACAAGTTACTTACTTATCCTTTCGGAGCCCGAGCTCTTATTTATAAAATGGAGGTACTGAAAGACTGACCTCACAGGGCGACTGTGAGAAGGGAGATTGTACAGCAAAGTGTTGAGAACCGGCCTAGCACCTGAGTGTTCCATGAGTGTCAGCTATTGTTATTTAAGATGAGTGAAGGGTTCTAAAATGCTCTAGAAACAACTGGATGTTGCTACTCTCCCCTGAAAACACACCTCAGTCCTTGGGCAAAGCTACATGGCAACTCGTGTGTTACATACTTCATTGGTTGCCCTGTTTTCACTTTAAGAGCAGGCTGCATTTCCATCGTGTTTCGTTGGTAACTGGTACCAGCTGTCACATAGGCAGAGAGAGAAAAGTAAGACCAGAGCCCTGCCACCAGAGCAGAGACCTTAGTCAAGACTGACCTCCCTGAGATTACAAGCAAATTCAATACAAAAGTTTTCCCTGGACGACTCAGCAAGCATCAGTGGACAGCCTAATGAACAGAGACCAACTTGGAAATGAGCTTGTTTAAACAGCCTTGGCAGTACAAGGTCATTCAAGACATTTTGCTACTAGGGTCCCAGTTCATCCATGCACGGGTTTATTCCACACAAAACGTGCTTAAACCTATCTCTGCAACGAGTGGAGGGCTGCAGTTCACTCGTAATAAACTTGTCTTAATCGCATTAAGAAGCTTTTAAAAAAAGTGACATCAAAACATTGGCCTCCAAGAGGATCAGCTGGGCCAGCTGAGTTCAAGGCTGAGAGATCAGCTCAGAAGGTTTCTACGGGGGACTGTCTTTTGGGATTCTCAAGGTATTATTATCTTGATAGACTTTCTCAAAGGACATCAGCCGATTGTAGGGTTTATTAAGAAGTTTTTTAGTATTAAGAAAGTATTAAGAAAATTAAAAACTGCACATGGGTGACAAAAATGCCAGGAAAATTACACAAAGGAATTTGCACCAAGACAACGAGCCTGCTCAATTTGAGGGTGAAGAGGAAACTGTACTCGCCCACCTACAGCCCTGACACTGCCTCGTCAGACTTCTGTGCTGCTCGCTCCTCACACTCGACAACGGACACTGTGAAAGGAACGTCTCTGGAGTCCCTCCAGAGTGCCCAAACTGCAGAGCGATGTCTAGAGACGGGACGTCAAGAAACAATAGCTTCACATTTTCCTGTTGTGTAAGTTTCTATGACTATGTAGCAGTCATATTTGATTTTCCCTCATCTAAGAGAATATTCCCTTTCCTTGCAAAGTTAATGTCAAAAGTAAGGACACAGAAATTGAGAACAAGGCCCGTGTTTTATACATCATCACCACAATGTTCACTTAGCTCACCTCACTGCTTTCCGTTTTCCTGAGCTGCAAACTGAAAGGTAACTGTGACTCCTGTGAGCAGAGTTCCTTTCATCCTAGCACTTCCACTCGGTGCTTTACACGTCTATCTGATTAGACCTCGATTCCAGCACTGTGGCACCCAGTGGACAGCTCAGTGAGCTCATTAGTCATCCATCAGTATAGATCCTAATCATTTTAATATTAGCAACTAGGACAAAGGACATATATTACCATGCAAATGAGAGCATTCTAGCTAGTATAAATAGCAGCTGTGAATCCTATACTTAACCAGCGTATACTGCACCCTGTCCCTGACTCTCAGTCTTTGATAGATATGGTCCTGTAATTAGACAGCTAAGTGAATCAATGCGGAGCCTTGGTGGCGTAGTGAGTTACATGTTCGGCTGCTAACCTCGCGGTCCACATTTCGCAACCTCCAGAAACCACCAGCCATTCTGTGGGAGAAAGATAAGGCTTTCTACTCCCATGAAGATTACAATTTCTGAAATCCACAGGGTCAGTTCTACCCTGTCCTATAGGGTCACCATGAGTCTAAACTGATTCAATGGCAAGCGTTAGTGAATCAGTGGAGAAACATAAGGCCCATAGGCTTGGTCCTATCACCAAGGAGCATATACCCTGGGCAAGTCATTCTCAGCCCTTTCCTCTGTAGAACCAAGGGCTCAACCTGACTTTACAGGTCCTCTCTGGGATCGGATTCAAAAAATCCTTAAAAGGGCTGTAAACGCCCAAGCAGAGTGCATTCCTTGTGGGCAGGCAGGATCAGATACCTTCTGCCACGAGATGAGTGTTATACACGGCAACGATTGTTGCTTTATTTGTATTTAGTTTTAAGACATTTTTTAAATTTCCAATAGGTGCAGCAGCTCCAGTGATTCACCTTAATTCTTGTAGCCAGCAGGTCGGTACAGTCGTCAAAGCGGATGCAGTAGCCCACCTCATGGCCCAGCACCGCACCTCTTTCCTCCGCAACTCTCCCTGCAACCTTGGGAGAGAAAGAGCATGCTGAAAATAGAGACACAGAAATCACTGCACAGAGCGCGCACACACTACATACAACACAGCTAAAGGTCAGTTGGGTTTTAAAAGGTCTTTGAACACAGTGGAAAATAAGGGAGGGAAATGGAGCAGATTTTATTAGAGAGCAAGTGTGATAACCTTTACAATTTATGAATCAATATAGTTGTGGATCTTCATTCTATCATGGATTTGAGGCAACTTCATAAGAACATAACAATATAAATGACACCAGGTAAAGATGTTACAGACCAAATCAAGAGAATGACTTATGACACCTGAGAGAACAAAACCCATGAGAAAAGCACAGTTATTTAGGCCAAGCCATACACACAGTGAGGTTCCTGGTGGCCAAAGCAAAAAGGGAAGCAAGATTCACCCTGCAGCTGAAGAAAGAGACATGAACCAAGGATGACTGAACCAGATGACTTCATGTCTCAAGCTAAAGCATCTTCCCCTGAACAACGAAGGCAGACCATGAATGATCACATAATACTGGGCCAAGTGCATTTTCTATTTAAAGGCAAAAGAATGATGCTTCAAGATCCAGATAACCGAAAACAACTGTAGTATGGTGGCCCAGTTACCAAAATCATAAAAAGGCAGAAAGAGGACCAGAATGCAGGTTTCCAACAGGAAGGGCGCAGGACCTGTGGGGTGCAGCGTTAGACGAGTCAATGAGTTTGGGGCGAGGAGTGGCACGGGGGTGCTCAGAGACAGAGCTCACTGACACAACTGTTCTGGCCCCACAGCTGCAGACCAGGAGCACAGCAGCTCCCTGACATCAGCTGCCCACACTGGACACGCGGGAGCTATTTGCCCTGTGTTTGAGAGACACAAGAACAGATGAGGCTGAGAAGCAGCTCGGTCTATGCACTTCCGATTACAGATCTGGCCAGCCAAAATAACCGATCATGCAGCAGCAGCTGGCCCACAACTGAAATGAGACTGCACAATCTTTCAAAACATATTATGAACCAAAAAACCATCCTATGGCTGCCCGACGTCTGGAGGCAGCATTTCCCAGTAACCAGCATTTCACCATGAAAGCTTTGTCACTTCAACCATCGCAATCTCAACCTTACCGATTGTCACAATGCATGACCTGGAAAAGGGCACAATAGACAATGTGTGCCTAGAGGCACTAGGAGCTTGTGGGGAGAACGGCTTGTGAAAAGGAGCATCAGTGAACCCATTCCGTCCCTAAAAATACAATCATTTTACTGGTCTGTGGGATCAAATTTAACTTCTCTGTGAGCCATTGTATTTCACTTTCAAGCTAGTATTTTTTAAAACATTTTACCATTTATAAGCATACCACTTTATTTTGCAAAAATCCCTATTCTACTACATTAGAGATTTTACCTCTACTGTTTAAACCTTTCTCCCAATAACTTCGTAAGTTTCACAGGAGAAAGATGATCCTTGGACAGAAACACACAAACAGGAGCTGTGCACCAAGCTGTCACACACATGAAATCTACACACAGCCTATAAGGTGGGCAGGATGCCCTCCTTTTGACAAATGAGGGCCCTAAAATCAGAGAGGCTTTGGGGCTTGTCCTGAATCCAGGCCACGGCAGGGCCCGGTCTCGAAGGCAAACTCAGGCCATGTAAGTCCAAGGAAACACACTCATCACTAACTGCCTGGCGCAGGGACCAAGCAACAGCTGACACAGTCTGCTCTGAGAGTTTGAGACTTTTCAGATGTGAACTGAACACAAAGTTCTTTCTGAGATGTACAGTTTCAAACTTGACAGCTCTATTAATACCGCATGCCTAATTTACACCCTGTCCTTCCAAGAGGTGGCTGTGGTCTCGTGGAAGTTGTCCAGGGATACAAATTTGGAGCTAAATGCACAGTGGTTCCGAGCTGGGAAACCAAGCCACAAACAGGGCCAATAGCTCTCATTTCTCAGTAACTGATTCATGTTTCAGTGGCCATAAAAGACTAGCTCCAACAGTGTGGGTCCAGTTTTTACACTCATGAGACTTGTAAAATGTTTAGCAATGATTTCTAACTTGAAGACCACAGAAAATGGACTTTGGGGATAGGGGGAAAATGACACAATAGTTAAAACTCAGCCCAGAACAAAGGTAACTTAGGGAAGTCGAATTCATTTCTTGTCCAGATAGAGAAGGCATCAAAGGCAGTTTTGTCCCCACTTCTCTCTAAAAGTGAATTGAAAACAACCAAAGAATTAAAACATATTCTGAACAAACACCTCCACTCTCAATAAAAGAAAGCCAACAGCCACAAGCCCAGATAATATCATAGAAAGCCGAGCTGACAAACACTGCCATGTCTGGATGCAGCAGGGACCAAGGCCTCCTGACAAGGCAGGCCACACTGGCTTCCTTAACATTTAAGTGCCACCATGCTCAACGGCAGAGGCAGCAATTGTGGTATTAAGGAGGTAAGTCAGGCATGGCAGTGTATTCAGGACCAAGAGACATAAAAATGTCCCTGTGGAAACCCACTTTGACAGCAAAGAATCACAGAAGAAGGAAGGTAAAGGAGAAGGCAGACAGGTCATTTCTATTGTTTAAAAGCCCAAACTTCACAGAGAGAACATAGGTAGGCTAGGAGGAATGTAGCAATGGTCAAATCCCAAATCAGAATGCCCAAAGAGTTTGCTCCTGAGCCATAAAGGTTGCTCAGAGTGGCCATCTAAGGTACAACCACTGTCTCTTTACATCCTGAGTGAAGTAAAGAAATCCATGGACTCCAGGGAACAATTAGTCCAAAAGACGAAAGGGCCACATGAACCGCAACCAACATGCCCCAAGGACGTAGATGGTACCCAACTACCATTACCATTCACGTATAGGGATCTCAACAGAGAGCTCCAACCAGAACTGGAAGAAAACACAGAACAATAAATCAAATTCATAAAGTGGTTTTTTGCAAAGCCCAGGCTTCCTGGTCTGACGGAGAGTGAGAAGAAACCCTTCAGACTATGGCTCTGCACAGCCTTCTGACCTAGAACTGAGGTCATCCCCAGAGACCACCTATCCACTAAACAGATAGGCCCATAAACTCTGCAGTAACACTTGAGGTGAAAGCATGCCTTAGAAAAATCAATTATACGAGACCAAAAGGAAAACATTTGCCCAAAAGTAAAGAAAGACAAGACGGCAGGATGGGAAGGGGTAAAACTCCAGACAAAGGGAAATGGGGAACCCAGGGCAGGAATGGGCTGAGGGATGACGCACAGTAGGGAGCTCAACCAAGGCCCTGGGACACTCTATGAACCAACTGTCAAGGGAGAAACTAAGTTGCTCTGTAAACTTTTTCTAATGAAGGAAAATATGATAGACACAGAGAAAAAGGCAAAAAACAAGCCCTCCCATCACCGGCCTCCCTCTCCCACCCAGGGACGGATGCTGGGCAGGGGAGTGAGGCCGGGTAAGGGGCTGTAAGTTCCCGAGAGCAGCAGCGCTGCCCATCCTCACAACTCTGCCAGAGTTGTGGCCCTGTTCAAGGTCCTACCACAAAGTTGGCCAAGAAATAAGGGGAAAGGAAGAAAGAAGCATGAGTGAAAAACTCATTGCAAAAGAGGCCAAAGCCTATGAGTGCTATCAGATGCAGGGAGGGGAGAAAGGAGTCAGTCATTGCTTGGGGGTCCTGAGTTTCTGTGGTGACAGCTACACAACAGGATCATCCTTGTCACCAAATCATACACACAGAAACGACTGAACCAGCCAATGTTCTGTTATTTTCCCACAATAAAAAACAATTTTTTTAAAAAGTAGAAACCTCAAAAGTATTACCCCAAAGAAATAAAAGCAGAATTTGGCCAAAGAAACCAGAAACTTCAGCTACTTACGCACTGAAGGAAGAGGTACAGAATCCAAGAACTGAGAGGATGCCCGGCTCCCGATGTCAGGCCAGCAGCCAAGCTAGAAGCTGTCCAACTCTCACAGCTTAGACCGCAAGCTGGAGGTTGTTTCCACAACCGGGATCAATCCGAAAGTGCACAGGACGGAAGGAGACAACAGCCGTTACAAGGCGGAAAGGAACTTGCCCAGAGGGTCAGTAAGGAAGAACTTCAAAGCAAGACCCATTAGCTGCTCCCTTCTCTCTGCAAGCGGTTCTCAACCTGTGGGTCACGACCCTTTGGGGCGCGAACAACCCTTTCACAGGGGCCGCCCCATTCATCACAGTAGCAAAATGACAGTGATGAAGTAGCAATGACAATAATGTTATGGCTGGGGGTCACCACGACACGAGGAACTGTGTGAAAGGGTCGCGGGTTAGGAAGGTGGAGCCGCGGTGCAGACAGAGGAAAGAGAAATGCAGCCCAAACTGCAGGGCAGCAAGAAGGCCTGCAGAGGAGCTGGGGAGAGGATTTACCAAATGTATCTTGTCCCACTCCAAATAGTCTCTTCTCTTTGAAAAAGGAAGCCCCAAAGAACTGCTTGAAGGGATTACCAGGCTCAGACAGAAACAAACAGAAACCAGAATAGGATAAACACTGCCAAAAAGTAGCAGGGAAAGGTGGACAGGCCTAAAGAAATTCCACAAAACAAGCTGGAGAAGAGAGGAGGAGGGAAAGATGGCGCATGCACTGAATCTTGGAAACGAGGATAAAGGCGATGATTAGAAAAGAATGCCAAGATGCAAACGAGAAAAACTTGCCTGATATAAAAGTAGATTCGAATCTAAACACTGCCATTTTTCCAGTTAGGAAAAAGGACCTTCAGCATCAAGACATATGCTGGTAAAAGAAAAAGGAAAGGGGTTGGGGGGGTGGGAGGTGGTGGTGTGTGTGTGTGTGTGTGGGTGTGTGTGTGTGCGTGTGTGTTGTGTGTGTGTGTGTGTGTTGTGTGTGTGTTTGTGTTTTAACAGAACCATATAACCTCAGCCTACACACAATCTCTAAACAAGAATACTTAGTCATTGTTGTTGGGGATCTTTCTTGTCTTGTTCTGAGTTTTGTTTCCTATTTGTGTTTTATATGATTTTCTGTATATGAAATCCAGGACAGGTAAATCTATAGAGATAGTAACTGGATTAATAATTACCTAGGTAGGGGCGTGGCAAGGGAGGATTGTGGGAAATGAGCTAACAATAGTGAGTACGAAAAAAAGTTCTGAAATTGTGGTGATGATTGCACAACTCTTACTATGATTAATGATTACATGATATGTAAAGTGTATGCCAATAAAACTATTTTTTAAAACTTTATAGCAACAAAGTAGTCTTTCAAATACAATGACCACAATCAAATATTCTCAAACCTGTTTTAAGAAACTATAGAATGGTAAAATCAGAAAAACATTAAGCTCATTCTAAATAGAATAAAAGTTAAACATCTGAAGGAATTACAATTATAGAATTATACAATTATAGAAAAGGAAGCAAATATCATATATCTTGAAGGAAAATATGGGGAGGGGAGGTGGTAAGAATGAACATGCTAATTTCCTCCTACTTCATCTCAGGAAACTAAATTTCAAATATATAGTTTCAAAAGTAAAGTTTTTAGTAACCTTCTAATACTCATTTTGTGGTGAAAAAAGATGTACTCAAAAATTCAGTAACTATCCCTATTTTACTTTAGTTTCTCCTTTTGTTGAATGGTGAGATGTTGGGGGGAGGTTGTTTGTTTATTCAGTTTATTTTTACTTTTTTTTGTCCTTCATTACTTAAAGGATCCAGAATGTCTGGGCATCATTATTAAAACAGATAATATAATTAACTTTATGACTCATGTTAGAGTTCATCTCTATCATTTCTTGCATTCCATACACAAATACAGGCAGGCTTCCTTTCCCGGAGCTTCGCTGGAAGATCTATGCCAGCCAAGCCTATCAGCACCATTTTTCCGACAGCAGAAGCTCTCTTCCGGTCTCTGTGTCACCTTCTGAGAACGCCTATCCTGTGATACTGAACAATTGGAAGACAAGAGTATAGAGAAAACAAGGCTTTATATGCACTGAGAAAACCAAACACCTGTGCAACTCGCTTTACTGCGGTATTGGCGCCATCGCAGAGGTCTAGAACCGAATCTGCCGTATTCTCAGAGGCATGCCCCGGCTAAGCTTTTATTTTTTATTTTTTATTTTTTTAAAAAGGCTTTATTTTTTTTAAGAATTAAACTTCCAAGCGGCAGCCGCTTTTCTTGGGAGCATCTAGGGAATGAGAAAGACCAGTGTTTGAGAGCCTTTGCAACTTCAGAAGGAAACTCACTGCAACAGCAGCCACTCTTCGAGGCTGGGTCACACCGACCACTCTGCCTTCGGCTGTCCAGCCAGCTTCTGCAAGGTACTGTAGAGAAAACCACAGGTCAGTACACGGCCCACCGTCCTCCTTGAACGCCGTCTCCCCCAAGACACCCCTGCTTTGGGTTAAAATTGCTTTCAACCGATAGGAAATGACAGATGGCTTTGCCCCAGTGAACGGTTTAAGAAATCATTTCACAGATGAGGACTCTGAGCCTGAGCAGTTTTAGGCAATTTCTGCACGTTCACATCAGAAATGATAAGCAGCCCTCACTCCCTAGTACTGCAAAAGACCCAAGTACTAAGCTGCCTGAAGGAACACAACGGTTAAGCACTTGGCTGCTACAAAAGGGTCAGTGGTTCTAACCTGCCCAATGCTCCATAGCATCAAGTCCTGGGACCTGCTTCGGTAAAGATGGCACACTTGGAAACCCCATGGGGCAGGTCCACACTGTCCTACAGGGTTGCTACGGGTCAGAATCAATGCACTGGCCACAGCATGGCGTGGCGGGGGTGATTTAAGTTGCCTTAAAGAACAAGTGACTCTAGATGGGGCACTCTTGACAAAAGAATGTAAAGCTCCTGACAGCTCAAGATAAATATAAACCATACAGAAGACAGACTTGGCTCAAATTAAATAAAAACATTTCCTTCGTATTAATATATATAATAGATATTAGAGTATATACAATTTTATACTTGTCAGTCTATAGTAAATTAGCTTACATATGCATTTAATATATGCACTTAAAAATCTAAAATGGCTAAGAGTGGTTACTATAGTTACATATTTCTACAATGTCTAAGTTGTTTAATAATAAATACGTAGTACTTCTATAACAGGAAAAATAAAATAAGATTAAAAATGCTATCATCTGTTGCTTATTTGAGATATACAGGAAGGATACACCAGGAACTAAGGATGCTGGGTGTCTGTCTACAGGCTGTGGGCGGCAGGCAGAGGCAGAGAGATTGGAGGGCAGGAGCTGGGGGTAGAGGGATGAGGAGGGAGGGACACTGCTCTGAGCTGGGCTTTGTGTGTCACTCTGACTCTTTGAACCACAGTCATGCTTCACATGCAAGTACTCATCACACACCCAGAAAACAAACACTAAAAGTCAACCAGGATGTGGAGGGAACCCAAAATGAAACACAAACACTCACAAGTGACCCTCACTGGATGAAAAGATGAGTAACACACCACACAGAGGGGAGAGAGGAGAAAAGAATGAATGTCAAGAACGGTGGGAAACAGCTCACTGCATCCTGACTGGGAGCTGTCAGCCTAAAGACTTCTTCTAAATGCTGGAACGCGATGAGTAAACACATTTCTCACGGGGGACGAGGTCAGCAATCCTGAAATGAATTTCTGAAACGAATGTGTGCGCCTACTTGACCGGAACAAATAAGTCAGTGTGCTGCAGGAACGAGGACCGCGTCTCTCGCTGTTGGAGCGAAGTTAAAAATAAGCCCTAAGGGGGAGACTGGAGCTTGAAGCACCAGCATAAACTCTTGGTTATGAATAGAAATACATAAATAAATAGAGATGCCTTTATATGAGTGGGGTAGTATTCATCAATATATACCCTAAGTCTGCAGTATAGCACCGAAAAATACACAACATCCCTCTAGTTCTTTAATGCTTCCTACCCACCCACACTATCATGACCCCAGCTCTACCTTACAAATCAGGCTAGATCAGACCATGTACACTGGTACAGATAAGAGCTCTCAACACACGGAATCCAGGGCAGATAAACCCCTCATGAACAATATTGGGAGTAGCAATACCATGAAGGTAGGGGAAAGGTGGGGAGAGTAGGGGGAGAAAAAGGAAACCAATCACAATGATCAATGTGTAACAGCCTCATGCCCCCCCCACCAACAGGGTTATAAACAACAGAAACATGGGTGGAGACAGCAGACAGTGTAAGAAATTAAAACAGTAATAATTTATAACTTATCAAGAATTCACAAGGGTAGAGGGTGGGGGAGAGAGGGAAAGAAGAAGAGCTAATACCAAGGGCTCAAGTAGAAAGAAAATGTTTTGAAAAAGATGATGGCAACATATGTACAAATGTGTGATAAGAGCTGTAAGGGCCCCCAGAAAATGACTTATATAATATAAATATGTATATACCCTAAATCTGCTCACTAAAAGTCCTAGAAACAGTAACACCTTGGTAGTAGTGAACACCCTAGTACCAGGATCTTGATTTCTAACTACCAGCCTCTAATAAAGGAGCCAAGACTTCTTGGAGAAAACGATCCCAGGGCTGGAGCAGAGAAAAAACAAGATGAGTGTGGTACAAGGAAGAGTTCAGAAAAAAGGTGATGTTTTCCAAAGCAGCAACAACAAAATGCACAAGTACCAACCGGAAGTAGCGCCTAATGGTCAGAACTGGAACAAACTGAACAAAAAAATAAATGATGACAGCATTCGATTAGTTTTCAGCCCAACACATTTGGACATGAGTATTTTAAAATAAATCTTTGTGATCCCATAGTAATATATACTAAGAGATCATTCTTCCTTATAAACTCACTGCCATCAAGCGCATTCCAATTCATACGGACCCTAGAGAAGAGTTTATAGAAAACCTTATGAGTTCTACTTAATAAAGGCAGAGTGTGAGAAGTAAATTTTTTTTAATTATCGATAGGCAAATACCTTGATAATTGTTACACACAAGATCCACTAAAGGATGCTAAAGTCAGGAGGCAAAAGTTTAAGGAGAAACCAAGTTATCTGTGGTCTCCCAATACCACCCCCAAGGGAAGGGAAGATAGCAACTTTACAGGCAAACCCTGGCACCTTACTCAAGTGAGGAAGGCTAATGTCATCAGTGTTGAGACACTGTTTCTGTGCTATTCTTGCCCAAAATATATAACTTCATTCTAATTACGAGGAAAAAGGTCCCTGTGCGGTCTGTGCTCAGCTGCTAACCCAAAGGTTGGCAACTCACGTGGCCCCACAGACACCTCCCCAGAGAGGCCTGGTGCTCTGCTTCTGAACAACCCCGCACTGGAGCCCTGGCGCACAGGGCTGCAGTCAGGGCTGGCTCGACAGCAACTGGCTGGAGGGGTTGGCTTGGCTGGTTGGCAATCCTGAAAAAATATCACACAATTCCAAATCCAGGGATACCCGACAAATGTCCAGCGCTCCTCAATAGAGCTGGCATAGTGGGGTAAGCATGGGGTTGCCGACAAAACGCAGGCCTGAGGCCAGCAGCCGCTCCTCGAGAGGAAGACGGCCGCCTGCTTCCACAGGGAGGTGTGCTCTGATCTACAGGGCTGCTGGGAGGCCGACTCAACCGAGGGCAGTTGGTTTGGCGTTGGGTTTGGACTGAGGAGCACGAACGGCCAAGTGTCCTGCAGCATTCTGGGCGGGGTGCTCCCGGCGACAGGGGGAGCAAAGGCAGAAGAGGCGGGTAACACTGAAACCAGGGCGATGGTTTAGTTACTGTCATGCCAAAGTCCATGTCCAGCTTCTGACTCGTGGACTTGACGCAGTGATGCAAGGGTGTCAGGGAACTCTTCTCTTTGTCTAAAATGAGCTTAAAATAAAGTTAGGAAAGCTGACACCACGAGTCTAGAATGACATGCTGTAGACAATTGGTTTTACTATGTTAGATTTGAGGGGGGCGCGTATAAAAGCTGTAAAGGTTCTCTCCTTTGTATTAACTACTTACTACCAACCACCCTAACAACAAAATTGCAAAGAGCTACTATCACCAGCATGGTAGTTCAGAGTCACTGGCACCTTACCAAGTGCCTGGAACAGTGCTGGTGACGCACAGCTGATGCTCACATCAAAGCCTATCAGAAAGGTGGTACCATCATCAATGATTGTACATGAAGAAACAAAGAGGTCAGATCACCTGTCCAAGGAAACAAATAAAAATCTAAGGGCTCAGCAGTTTTACTCCAAACCAAGTCACATAACCAGGACACAATTCTACCATTAAAACACATGCACACACACACACACAGTGAATTCTTAGTAAGTAGTTTTATTAAGCAAAAGAAAAACAGTTCCTATGAAGACATAAACAACTTATCTGTAGAGCTAGTCTCTGCCCAGAACACCTTGTGAATCGGGCTTCCAGTGTATGCTGATGAGGGCTGGGATTCACCTGGTGGAAAGGTAAAGATACCGCCAAAGCAGGTCAGGCGCTGCCTCAGGAGGCGGTGGATAACATGAAAGGTCACTGGCTGCCAGACTGACTCCCTTGCAGTCCACTCGACTCTCTTTAGGAAGCACTGATCACTGGTCTTGTGGTTAAAGAATGGACAGCAAAAATGCCACCAAGAACAGAACTAATCAAAATTGCAATACAGAGCTTGTTTCACACGCGTGCGCATGTATGCACCCCGGGTTACAAATCTTTATGGGAGAGGAAAGCCTCATCTTTCTCCTAATACAGAGTAGGGGGTGGGCTTGAACTTCTGACCTTGTGATTAGCAGCCCATCACATAACCTTCCATGCCACCAGAGTGCCCACCTACATCTATGCGCACACTTCCCTGTATGTGCATAAAAAACCTCCACTCAAGCAGCTGTGGTTTCACTCTACTTCTGTGGCTGGGTTGGGTAATTCACTGAGGACTCACAGGCAACGCTCACAATTACAGGGCTTAACAGGGAAGTTAACAAGTTACAATTTATGTGAGAAACATGGAGACACGGCTGTTCAGTCAGAACAGTTTCTTCTCTGCCGTGCAAGGGCAAGGTTACAAAGCTCTTTTAGGACTGCAGATATGTACCCACAGGGCCTTCCATTCCACCGTGCGCCTCAATTCAAAAGCACCTGAGAGTCACAAAAACAGAGCAGCAGGGAAATCTTTCTCTCTATATCCTGCGAGTCTCTCTGAATATTGAAGCATAATGTTAAATGTGAAGACATAAATGTTAAAAACATAAAAAGAACTGTGCGTGTTTTCATTTCCTTTCTCTGCTTCCACATTACACAGCCTGGATCCTCAGACCCTCCACCACTCTCTCTCCTTCAGGCCATTTGCCCTGGGCTTAGTCCCTCAGCAAGTCCTCTAAGTTCCCCGGCAACTAAGCCTTGTTGGGGGAAATGCCCAGTGTGACAGGCTGTATTCTTGTTCCCAGTGGACCCTGGCCCTCCCTATAGAGGGTTATATACTTGACCACCTCGTCACTATCGGGCCTGGCACATAATTTGCTTTGACCATAAAATACAAGTGTATGCATAGTGATATATAACTGATACAAGGGTTTATAGGGAATGGAAGGTGGGTGGGAGGGAATTTAGGGAATAAACAATGAAGGGGGGAGGGAACAATAGAACTGACTGTGATTGCACAACTCATTTTAAAGGCGATTTAATCATGGGGGGAGGAATGTTCTAAAATTGATGTGGTAATGATTACACAATTCTTGATATGATTGAAGGATTGGAGCATGGAATTGTATATGTAAATTATGTCTCAATAAAACTGTTGGAAGATTAAATAAATAAATATTGAGTGGAAGTGTTGCTTCTGGGGAGCAGTTCGGAGCCATCTCATGACTCTGCCAACTCTCGTAACCCTCTACCCTAAGATCGCTAAACCCCCAGGTCATACTACCACCTTCGGCCTAGGTCCCAGAGGGATGATGCAGAACAGGCTCGCAGCCAACCACACATGACCACATGTATGAGGAAGACCTAAGCCTCTGACTCTGTAAACCACTGAGATTTTCAGTTGCTTTGTTACCATACCATGGCTTTAGCTGACTAAACAATCATGCAGATGAATTACAAAACACACTGACATTATCTCAGCTTCCAGGGCCTGTCTTTTACCTCTGCTCTATTTCCTTAAGAGCAAATAGCTAAGCCTTCCACTAGTAGCTTAAAGGCTGGTGGTGTGAACCCACCCAGAGGCACCTCAGAAAACAGGTCTGGCTGTTTCCAAAGGGCCAGCACCATGCAAACCCTGTGGAGTGGTTCTTCTCGGCACTCAAGGAGTTTCTCTGGGTCAGAATCTGCATCAACCACAACAACGCGATTTCCCAACTGCCTTACTCTGTCCCCTTTGTAAAATGAAGATAATCACAGTATCTGCCTTCACAGGGTCATGGAGGGTTAAATGAGGGTAAAGTGTGGGGCACTTTATAATATAGCAGGGATTACACTGTCTAGCTGGTCACCTTACAGTCATATAAGCCAGTCTTCTTCTGCTTCTCTGATCCCATTGATCCATCCATTCCTCCCGGTCACCCTCGCCTCTGCGGTTCACATTCCAAATTGTCCTCTGCCTACTGGGCACTCCCCTCTCCCGACAGCAACTGTTCACACCTTAACTGCACCTGAAGTCACCTGGAGAATGTTTTAAAAACACCTGTGCCCGAGTCCCATGCTAAATAGAGCTTGGGTGGGGAAGCAAGTAGAAACTGGGCATCAGTAATTTTGGAAGCTTCCCAGGTGCACCCAACATTGAGGACCATGCAGACATGTTGGCATGCCCACCAGTCTAGACCAGGCAGGCTATGATACATCATCTACATATTCAAAAATACAGAGACTCTTCACCTCAAAACCCCGAGAGCGGCTGTCCCTGCTTCCTTGGGCTCCAGGGAATACCCCACTTTGCTATAACTGACGCTCTTCCTCTCACATCTACCCACCTGGACCCACTCTCTCCACTGACACAGCCCAGGGTCTGAAACGAGCGCTACACACTAACACTGTCACCTGGCCCCCTCTCCTAATATCTCACTCTTCCTGTGGCTTCTCTGATCGTGGGCACAAGCTCTGAGTTCCTCGGCCATCTCCCTCGCTGCCCTTCCGCCTCCTCCTCTCTGCTCTGACACCTGCATGTTGCGGCTCCCAAGGCTGCGTCCTGGGTTCTCTTTCAGTCTTTTCTGCTCCTTCACCTTCCTGCACATGTGGATGTCAGATGACCAGTGTGGGTGATGCCAGTTCACCCCTCCCTAGCTCCGACTTCTGCAGAGCCTCACCATCTCTAGTAAACGTGTTGCTGGTATTGTCGGCATTCTTGTTAGGTGCTGTCCCATCGGTTCCAATTCACAGCAACCCGACGGACACTAGACAACACTGCCCAATCCTGCGGCACCCTCACAAGTGTTCTATACTTGTGCCTACTAGTCCGTCAGTTTTAAAGCATCCGGTTGAAGGTTTCCCTCTTTTTTGCTTCCCCACTAGTCTGTTCAAAACCAAACACATCCATTTCCCCTGTACAAGCAATTCCTCTTCCTCAATAACTGACAGCATTAGTCTCCAAGGCAGCAGGTCTGGTCAGTCAACGTTGACCTGTATACTTCCAACTCTCCCATTGTGAATGTCCCAACAGTTTCCAATACCCACAGACCTGTCTTCTCTAAAATCACCTTCATTCCTGGTCCCCACATTATCCTACTATCACCCTTTGGCCTTTCTTTTCCCAAAGACTACTGCAAGTCTCCTGTCTCCTCCAATCTCTAATTCATCTTGCATCTACTCAACTGGAAGGAGGGAGAGAGTGGTGGCTAAACATGAAAAATGCAATCAGAATCACCGAATTGCACATGCTAATGCTGCTGACTTGGTGTATGCTCTGTGTTGAGTCCGAACAACAAAAATAGGTGAATTATAAAAAAATTAATGCAGCCATGGGCAATGCATGAACAAATGGGCATGGCTCTGTTCCAATAAAGTTTTATTTACAAATGCAGGCCATGGGCTGGAATTAGCTCATGAGCCATAAACCGCCAAGCTCTGGTCTAGAGCAATGAGAAGGAATATGCTCCAACTGGACTCAACAACAGGGAAGAAGTCCCTTCACACAAAGTTTTAAAAGAGGCAAACTCAATCTCTGGTGTTAGTAATCAGGCTAGCAGTTGCCTTTGGGTGGGGTAGGATGAGGGGGCCCCAGAGGGCCCTGGGGTACTGATAACCCTGGTGTCTTGATCTGGGGGCTGGCAACACAGTGTATTCACATGTGAGAATTGATCAAGCTGGACAGCTAGGATTTGTGCACTTTCCTCTGTGTGTTTTGTACTGTCGTTTAAAAAGTTGTATTTGAAAAAGATGGATTAAAAATGGCCCCCCAAAATTTTTGTTATAGTTTATACATATTAGCTACACAAATTTTACCACAATAACATGCACCCACTGCAACAACTCTCATCCTGTTTACTTGTTGCTCTTCATGCTTCTGGCCGAGGCTCTTAAGACACACACTGGCCTTAACCAACCTTTCCAGTCCTAACACCCAGGAGCTCCCAACTCCTCCACCCCAGCACCTCTCACCACAATACTCACTGGACTGGCCCAGCTCCTGCTGATCAACAAAGGCCCATTTCAAATGCCATTTCCTCAATGAGGTCTTTCTGGGCCCTTCTTTCCACCCCTGCCTCCACCAACATTTTCCTGCTAAGAGGTTTCTTCTATAGACTGAGTCCGGTTTGGTGCACAACTCTAGTATTCCTCTGGCCCCACCGCTTTAATTGAGGACAAAAAACTGTGTCTTACAACCTCTACATGGGTCTCACTCTGCCTTTCAGAGAACAGCTTGTCAATGATTATTTTGGAATGATAGTTATTTTGTGTTATTTTGATACTATCAAAGAAATTAAAAGCTGTGAAAGTTTAATTCTTTTAAAAACTCTTGTTGGGATGAATTCTTTCCTCGTTATAAAAAAGACCTTCAAAGGTCAAGGGTAATAAAGAGAGCTCTCAAAGCTACGAAGTCCTACAGAGACACAGGTTCAAGCATGACTCACCTGTGGGATCTGCGTGCTTTTCCCACATCCTGTTTCTCCAACAATCACCACCGTCTGATGGTTTTCTAGCAAGTACAATATATGATTCCTAAGCTGAAAGAGAAAGAAAATTAAAGAACCACACACTATCTCCAGAGAGCGACTCAGACTTAAACATCGTGAAACCAGCTGTCTGCCAAAGAAAGCAACCCTGAAGGGCTCTCCCTGTTGTGTGCGTTCCCAGTCCGCAGCTGCGGTCAGTCTACACCGACGGCTCCAAAACTGAAACACGCTCAGAGCCAGGGAGCTGACTCTAACTCATTGACGGTGTGTGGGTTACGCACTGGGCTGCTAACCAACAGGTCAGCAGTTTGAATCCAACAGCTGCTCCTTAGGAGAAAGACGAGGCTTCCTCCTCCTATAAACTACTCTGTCATATAGGGTTACTATGAATCAGAAACTGACTGTAGCTGAGTGCAATATCTCCCAAAACATATCATGCATATACTCTTGGATTCAAGATTCTCACTTTTAAGAAGGTGCATGTTCACAAGGATGTATGTACCAGTGCATTCATTGTGGTACTGCTTAAACTGGTAGACTGCAACAGCCTCAACGTTCATCCCCAGAGGTGTGGTCCCATCAGTTAGGAGATAAACTTTCCCGTTTGCCTGGCCTTTCTTCTGCAGAGCTGCTGGGTGGGTTCCTATCTTCAAGGTTTCGGTCAGTGGCAATCATAAACTGCTTATACCACATTGACACCTTTCTTGCAATTCTAATGACAGCAACATAGGAGCGGGCTCAAAAAGTCCATGGAAAAAGAATGAAGTTAAAAGATAATGGGATTTTTCCACAAAATTTCTGAAGCCCCCCCCCCTGTATTTTAAATTCTTATTTCCTCTTTTTTGTTTTTATTTGTTGGCATTTCATTTAGTTTATCTGATAAGTACAGTTCGAGGATAAAGAACAGTCAAGAAAAGGCCAAAATGTTCTCCATAAACAATAATTACCCCTGAGCTTAAGAGTTTAATACAAGTATCTTGTAGGAGCTCTGCATGGATTGTCTCACTGGCCTTCGGAACAATCTCAGAGGCAGCACTACCTCCTGTCCCTCTCTACCGATAAGGAAGAACTAGAGCTCAGCCTGGGGAAGGCAAGGTCACACTGCAGCCGAGTGGTGAAGCTTCACGGGAGCCCTGGCGCCTCGCTCCAGAGTCCAGCCACTTCAGTGCGGCTCAAACTGCATCCTTTCGTGGGGAGGAAGTAATAAGGAGCCAATCAATCATCTTGTCTCCTGAGGACCAAACCGGCAGCATTCACACGTAATGGATGAGATTAGTCATTTGAGGAAGAAACCCGGAGATGTTAGTACATGAGTGACTAAAATGTTTGGACCAAGGTGATTTTGCTGAATTAGGAAGGCCAGGGTTTCATATTTGTTTGGAAAAATAACATATCAATAGAAGAGTGACTGTCAGCATAGTCTAGACAAACCTACTGCCGAAGTGTAAGAAGTTGGCAGCTTCCAACCCCAAAACCATCCAAGAGAAAGAACTGGGTGCTTGCCGTGCCCAGTGTGGTAGGAGCGCTCAGCACCCTTCACTGGGGAGTGGAAGAAACAAGTTGATTTCAGGACTAAGCCACCTTTGGTTCTGAGCATATTTCCTGATTACTATTTGGCTTCCCAAGCGAACTCGTCCATCAGTGAACGTGGGCAATGTGTGCTGGGGAACTACAGCTCACTGTAGAGGGTCTCTTCTGAATTCTAGTCTGTGCTTCGGTCTCCTGTAAGTCAAGCACGCATGCCCGTGCGGAGAAATCAATTGGCCGGTGTGCACATGGTACACCACAACCACATCAACTCCCATCACGGCCTGAGTGGGGGTCACGGGTCCTAGAACTCATTGCTTCAACTGAAACAGCTTCACATTCCAAGTTAAGCTTGCTTCAAGAACGACACCTTTCAAAAGAAGGGGCAAATGGCCACATAGTTCACTGTCCTATTTCAAACTGTCCGTAAGGGGAAGCAATGTTTTGGTTTGGTTTGGTTTTGGGAGGGGGGGGCTTTCATTCCTATTTCTTTCCACGTCTTCAGTGAGATCGGACTGGTGAAGTACAAGTCCAAATCTCTTGAGTTCATTATGTTCTAAAGGGTCATTAAGAACAAGAGAGCATAGAGCATCTATCCACGGCACCAAGGACACAGCGGCTGTAGCCACGACTCAGGCTGAAGCTGCCTCCCCACGTACCTTGAACACCGGCAGCTTCTGCCTCTGCTGCTCTATGGAGAGGGCGGCATGAGGATTGTAAACAACGCTTGTCACAGCGTTGTCCGCTAGGCTCTGTCGTTCTTCAGCGATGCTGACGCCTGGCCCCTCGGTGCCTGTGGCAGAAATGTTATTTCAGACTCTGATGCAGTGAACAGAAAAATATGCGAAAGTCACCAATTTTCAAATATACAATGGAAGCAAACTAATTCATCTCAAAATACTAAAAGGTAGGATTCTTTAACTTCAGGAAAGCACCTAGAAAAGCTACCTCTCAGAATATCAAAAAAAAAATGTCTTCCATAAAAGTTTCACTCCCTGCCGTCAGCCTGGCGTTGAGCACAAAGAGGGGGGCAGTCCGACTGGGCTCCCACCTTCCACCGCATTTGTCCATTACGGGGGTGGGGGTGGGGGAGATGTCAACTGACAGCGACCATGTGACAGAGATGGTTTCCTCGGCTGTGATGTTTTACGGGAGCAGATCGCCAAGTCTTTCTCCCGAGGCGCCACTGGGTGGGTTCAGATCACACTTGGACCCAAGGGGCTACCCGGGCCCCGTATCTAGAGTACAGTGATTCTCCTTCTGGCCGCCACGATGACATTACTCCTGAACTCTGTGTAGAAGCAGCAGCAACCCAGCGAACAGTCGCTGCAGCACAAGTGTGAATCCTCTCCCTGTATGTCAGCAGCAGGGCCCAGGGACAACGCGAACCAGGGACACAAAGGCTGCCAGAGCTCCCTCCCTGTCTCATCTCTGCCACTTGACCAGGTCCCATTAGCCCCATGGGCCGCCGTTCCTGATGGGCTCTGGGCAGAGCTCACGCTCCCAACTTCTCCCCCAGCCCTTCCTTCACTCTCCCACCAAGGACCGATGGGCGCCTACTCTGGGCCAGGTACTGCACTGAATGCTGGAGTCAGCAGCCAGCAGCACAGGCCTGAGCCCCACCCTCACTTGCTTCTTTAATTCTTGCCATGGCCCCGACAGAATGTAACTTAGAACATGAAGTGGTAATGAGAACTACTGAGAAAAATAAAAGTCAGGTGAGGGGGGCACTGGGGTTCTATGTACATGTGCTGTGGGTATGCTTGGGAAAGAGACTCTTTCACAGCATGCTCAGGGACGGACTTTTTCCCACGGCGGAGGCCCAGTGTCACCAGGATTCTATCAAGCCTGGCTGTCCAGCAGGATGCCAGGAATGGACCACAGTTGAACCAGAGTTGGGGGTGGAAGGCAAGAAGTGCTGCTCCCAGAAACCACTGGGGTGAGCAGAATAACAAGAGATAGCCACCACAGCTCCCGGCAAGCAAAATGGCAAACTAGCCAAGGCTGGCAAAGAATCAAGAGGCCTGCATACACTGTGGATGTTTAGCCTGAACAGACCTAAGAACAGTGGTTCTCTACCTTCCTAATGCCAGGGCCCTTTAACACAGCTCCACATGTTGTGGTGACCCCCAACCATCAAATTATTTTCGTTGCTACTTCATAACTGTCATTTTGCTACTGTTATGAATCGGGTGACCCCCTGTGAAAGGGCCATTCAACCCTCAAAAGGGTCCTGGCCCACAGGTTGAGAACCGCTGCCTTAGAAGAACCATGGGTTCTAACTTATGCTCCATTTCCCTCACTTTTTCATGCCAACTAGTGTATGTGGCCGAGGACAGAGCTAGGAGTGATGAGTAAATGACACAGGGTTCAGAACTGAACTCAGCTCAACATAAAGGAGGTATTTCTAAAGCGTGGAGCCATTTGTTAATCCATAAAAAGAAAACCCTGGGAGTTCAGATACGCACCAATCAGCCTCTTGTTGGTGCTGCTGGGACGAGTCCGTCAGTGAGTAGATTCTGACCCACAGTGGCCCTACAGGGCAGACTAGAACTGCTCCCCCAGGGGTTCAAGGTTGCAATCTGTACGGAAGCAGACTGCCTCATCTCTCTCCCACTGAGCAGCTGCTGGGTTCAAAGCGCTGACTTCACCCCTCTGTGCCCCTGGCTCCGGCACTAGAGGGACAATTACCTAAAACCGGGGCTGCCCAGGACTCCCCTCAGATTCCATGGTGCTAGGGACAAGGACAGGGGCTTTCTAGCAGAAATATTTAACCCAGTGATTTTTATGTCGCATCTTTTAAGATTCCAGGCCCCTGAACCCTTCACCAATCTAATACAAAGCGATGGGTTCCCTCTGCTGAAAAATATATACCAGAAAATAACTTGCCAGAGCAGAAAACAAATTCCTGGAGCTAAGCTTGGAGTCCGGCTTTAGATCCCTGACCCCTTTTGCTACTTATTTCTGGAACACAGCTGCGCTCCAGATTGCCCAGGATTGCCCAAAACCAGGTCAGCAGGCCACTGCTCTACTGCTTTTGCCAAAGAGCTGACTTTCCTTTCACAAGATAAAAGATAAAGCAGGGCCTGGGCCAAGCCTGTGCTCACAGCAGCTGGTTCCCTTGCCTTGGTGCCTTATTATCACTACATCTTCATCAGCCTGTATGCGCTACCTGAGCAAACTATGGCAGAGAATACCGTATATACTCGTGTAGAAGCTAGTCATCACAACTAGCATTTTGTTTGTTTGTTTGCTTGAAATGAACTTAACTGTCACTAAAGACTCCAAATGTCACTTTTGCTTCCTGTGTTTTTTTCCCCTCAAAGCTGTGACCAGCATTTTGTAATGATGAGCTAAGAGAAGAAGTTTCAGAGCGCATCCCAGGAGGCGATTTTATGTTTGTTTCCCCTTTCCGATGTTGTTGTCGTGTGTGCTGGACCACAACACAATCGCCTTTCTCACTGTCAGTCGAGTCAAAAAAGCTTAAAAGTGATTGCAGTCAAGTATTTGTCAGGCACATCGATCAATAAAAATCTACTGAGCAACTGAATGAAAATGCTGGGCCCTTCTGATCTGCTTACACTATCAAATAAAGTGAAACATTTTCCTGGTAAAACCCTGGATAACTTGTATAAGGCTCTTTAGTCACACTCCTAAAATAGAGGTCACAAGCTAGTGGCTCAGGGTCCCCAGAGGCTCTGGCTAAAATGTTCATTAGTTTTTTAAACTATAAAATGCCCATGCAAAGCTCGGTATTAGGCATCACTGAGCTCATAGAAGAATCACGTGGAGCTCAGTACAGCTTTCGAAGCGCATGCTCCAGTGGGTGAGTGCCCTCTAATTTGCCGCAGTCCCCACCGCTCCTTTAATATTAACTCACACTGTAGCTTCAGTCCTTGAGACGACCTCAATAGCCTGTGAACTTCTGAGTTTGTGACTCGTCCTGAGAGAGATGGCTCATGATCCCAACATCCCTATCTCCAGCTCAACCATGTCCCTGACCTTCACACCATTCCCACATCCTATTCTCTACCCTAAACTTTATATTAGGGTATCATCAGTAGGTTTACACTATACTGTGGGCTATGAAAGGAGCCATGGTGGCATAGTGGCTACACACTGGGCTGCTAAACCCCAAAGTCAGCGGTTTGAAACCACCAGCCTTTCCACAGGAGAAAGACAGGGCTTTCAACTCCTGTAAAGAGTTAGTCTCTGAATCCCACATGGGTGGTTCTACAGTCCTATAAGGTTGCTATGAGTCGGTATGCACTCAGTGGCAGCCGGCTTAGTTTGGTTTGGGTATGGGCTATTAAAAGGAGCCCTGGGAAAAGAGGAGGCTGCCTGCTCCCGTGAAGATCTAGTCTTGGATACCCAAAGCTGCAGTCCTACTCTGTCCTGTGGAATCACTCTGCGTAGGCATCACTGATGGCAGGGGTTTGGGGTGGTCTATTCGGTATGCCACAGCATTCTGGAAAAAGCCTGAAATACTGTGAGAACTGCCAAAATGTGGCACAGACCCAGAGTGGGCGTATGCTGTTGGGAAGATGGTGCCAATAGAACTGCTCAACACAAGGGTGCCACAATCCTTCCATTTGGGGTGGGGGGGGGCGGAAGGGAGGGGGGAATGTTGGGGGGCAACATCTGCGTAGTGCAATAAACCAAGTTTTGCCTGTAGTACCAAGCCGTGGGCCACTAGAAGTATTCTACATCTATTGCCTTCTCACTTAATGACATCTCCGCTTCTCCAAACTGTGATTCCCAAACTTGAAGCTTGCTGGAAGCACCAAGGAATCTTCCAAAACTGCAGACTTCATTTAATTGGCACAGGATGGGACTGGACACCAGGGTTTCTCATAATTTCCCAAGGAAGTGGTATAGAGCAAAATCTGAGAGCCACTGACCTAGACAAGTCACTGAACGTCAGCCCCCTTTCTCAACTTTGCCTTCCGGTTCTGTTTTGCTTTTTGAGGATCCCCTTGTAAGTGCACCATCAGAATTTCGGAAAGAAGCCTGAAACACCTCAAAAGAGCCTTCCTCATAATACCCCCTTCGTATCATTTCATTTTGGCTGCAAGACACTGTGCACCTCAAGGCAGGCACAGGTGCAAGGAGCTAGGGGAAAAAAAGTGGGGTAATTACAAAGAAACTTGTTTTTCTTAAGAAACGGGTGGAAAGGGAGGCGATCAGGCATCTTGCAGGTTTTGGCACTTCACCTTCCATTCCAATCTGATGCATGAACAAATGACCAAACAAGCCCAGCCCTTAACGACTGAGCTCGCCTACCTTCAGGAGAGAAGTGGGCGTGGGCGGCGGTCAATATTCAGGGAAGTCTGAACTCCCCGGGGGTGCAGGGAACGGTCAGAAAGACCCCACCTTCAAGATTACGGCCCTGGAAAGCCTCTAGGGCAGGCAGTCCTACTCTGTCCTACAGTGGTCGCGAGGAGTCGCACTGATGTGGGGTTTGGTTTTTCCTTTTTGTCCCCCACTTTCTCTTAGGCACTCGGGAGCGAGGAGGCGAAGGCTTGGAGGGGCCAAGTGACTTGCTGACTGACCCGAGACTGGCCTGTCACTACAGGGCAGTGCTGAGCACTGGAACCTGGACCGTGTGCCTTCACAGCGTGGGTCCCCAAACGCTGGGCAGCACCGCCCTGCGCTCAGAGGGCACGCGCGGACGCCTTAACCCGCACCAGCCGTCTCCCCGTCTCTCAAGGTGGGCAGGACCCGCATCAACAACGAGGAGGGCGGGTCCGAGGGAGCTGAGAGACTCCAACGAGGTCACGCAGTTTTTACCCAAGCGAGGAGTAGACCCCGAATCCCTCGAGAGACCCTGGCGAGCCTCCGCCGCACAGTCCACCAGCAGAGGCAGCGCTGCCCAGTCCGCCCCGCTCAGGCCTGCGAGCACGTCCGCCGGGCCCGGGGCAAAGGCAGGCTGCTGTGCCCGCCCAGCCTTCCGCGGAGGGCCTTACCAGGTCGCCAGAACTTCACGGGTCCCACGGGCGCAGCCATGCTGGGGTGAAAGGTCACGAGGAAGACTCCGCCCCTCCGCCCCGCGCCGGCCTCGGGAGGGCAGGGGGCGTGGCCCGCGGGGAGAGCGGCCCCGCGGCAGCAGGCCGGTTGCGGCCACACCCCCTAAAGCCACCGCCCTTCTGAGCCACGTGACCCAGAACGGCGCGTGGAGAGGCCCTAGCCACGCCCCTCCAGTCTTCGGTCACCTATAGGAAGAGGATAGAGGCTGCTGCCGCGCCCTCTCAGCTGCGCCCCTCCCCGCGACGTACGTTACGTCTCCCGCGAGCGTGCAGGTGCCGCCCCATGACGCACGTGACCTCGTCCGCCGTGTTGGGGGAGAAAGCGGCGTCAGGATTCTCACGTGACTTTCTTAGGCGGACGGTGTGACCTGCATGGCACCCGCACACCTCCCTGCGGAAAGGTGGGCTTTGGGAAAAGGCCGCTGGCACCACGGGCTGTCACTGCTGCCCGGATTGGGTACTAATATGGTGATACTTCAAACTGTGGCTGTTGGCCACATTTAGTCTCGTCTGCAAATTGGAAGATGACAGTCGTAATTGGGCACGTCCTGTGTACCCAGGTGCAATGGTTTAGGGAGAGTGAAGAGTAACTGTATTAATAATGCTAGATAGATAGTAGCATCCAGACAATTCTGACTCATAGTGACCCTATAGGTTAGGGTAGAGATGCTCTTGCAGGGAGTTGAAAGCCTTTTTTTTTTTTTAAAGCCTTTCTCACGGGGTGGTGGTGACAGCTTTCAACCTGCTGACTCAGATGTGTTCAAAGCTGACGTCACCTGGCTTTTTTTTTTTTTAATCATTTTATTAGGGGCTCATACAACTCGTCACAATCCATACATACATCAATTGTTTAAAGCACATTTGTGCATTCATTTCCCTCATCATTCTCAAAACATTTGCTCTCCACCTAAGCCCGTCGCCTGGCTTTTCATACTCAGAAAAGCTAGCAAGTTTCTCTTGAGAGGGTTGCCCCCAGAACAGAGCCACACACCTGAGACATCAAGACAAGACAGTGTGACAAGACAACAGGCGGAGCAAAAGTAGAATAAGCCAAAGTACTCTTGAATCTCGAAGCTTCATGATTTGAAAAAGTTGACCACGTGTAGATATATGACATTGGATTTTGTCAGGTGATAGGACGTTACTGGTCCACCTCAGTCCTTGCGCTGCACCGTGTAAAGATAATTCATCCATGACCAGTGGAGTGGTTGTGTGAAGCAGTTTGAAGTAGGTCATCTAGGCTGTTAGCTGACCTTGGGTTAGCAGCCCGAAAGGTAACCATATGCCGCCAAGCCTCCTGTATTACTAATGCTAGATAAATAGTAACCTGTATTATTCTCTCAACAGAAACCAAGCGACATCAAAAAAGAAGACATTCCACGAGATGGACTGACAACAGTGGCTCCAACCAGGGGCTCAAACATAGCAACAAGTGTGAGGGTGCCACAGGACCAGGCAGTGTTTGCTTCTGTTGCACATAGGGTTTCTGTGACTCGGAACCAAGTCTACAGCCCCTGACAACAGAAACTATATGAAATTGTCTCTACATCCTCAGGGGCCTAGAGGATAAGGCCGTATTCCAAGTAGACTAGAAATACCTTTGCTCAAGAGTGGACAATAGATGTCTGCAGGATTTGAGATTCATTGACCGCACTGGGCTGTAACTCAGAGCTAATCCCAATCCAAAGTGATTGCCACATGGGAGAAGACATTTAAGCTGAATAAGAGATGTTAGGGTAAAGCAGTCCCTAACAATATCACAGAGTTCATACGTGCAATTGTAGTTATAATATACAAAGATCAAAATGAGGAGCCGATGCCAGGAGCTTACATGGAGAGCAAATGCTTTGAGAATGATGATTGTAACGAATGTACAAATGTTTTTATACAATTGATGTATGTATGGATTGTGATAAGAGCCCAATGAAATGATTAATATATATAATGATCATAGTAAAGTCGTAGAGCATAGGAAAGGTAGGAGAGAAGATAAAATAGACACGTTTTATGGTAGCATGCTCATCTCTGGGACAGCCATGATCTCAGCAGCAAGGTCCGCACAGAGAGGGAGGAGAGACCTATTTATTTCTGACTAAGGCTTATCTATACTTAGGGGCATCCAAATCCCCGATTACAGGTAATCACATGTCACAGGAAGGGGATGAGCTAGGGGGTGTACACATAATAGGAAAGGGCAGGACTGGGAGTACACATGTGACAAGATGGGCGGTTCCTAGACTCAAGATGACGGCCTAACCTTGATCCCTTGAGTTGGCTGGACCTTGTCTTTGGGCTCTCCTTCAGGGATGCAATCCACTATCCTTATTAGCAGGGAGTGGGTCCTACTTAGGGTGGACGGACAATAGTCTGATTGCTCTACTTGGCTGATGCCCTCAGGGAGAATACCTTTAAGCAGCTAACCACACAATGCCAGTGACAATCTGGGGAGACACCTCTCTGTATCCTACAAAGAGACACTAAATCGGAGCTGCTCTCATGAGGGCCTCATTTCAGCCATTTAAAATAGGGTGGCTCTCCAAAATCTCTGTAGTAAATCTACCTGAAAATATGAACCTTATGTAATCAGTCCTCTGTTTCAACAAGTTGAACCTACCTAAACTCTGCTCATAAGTTATATTTCAGCAAGACAGAAAAAGTCTGGTGGATAAACAGGTTGTATTCTGGCTCAAATCTGCCTTTGAGGGCGCACAGCCTAATCCTGTGGATACTAGGAAGATAGGAAGTGCTGGCAGGCTTTGGGAGTCTAGAAAGGAGGGTTGGTTTTCAGGTGGGGGAATCAGGGGGGGCATTCTACAAAGATCTTCCTTAGGGTACAACTTTTGAAGAAGTAGGTAGGAGTATCCTCGAGCCCTAGAGAAACCTAGAAACAATTCTGTTAGGGCAGCGGTTTTCAACCTGTGGGTCGTGACCCCCTTGGGGGTTGAATGACCCTTTCCCAGGGGTCCCCTGATTCATAACAGTAGCAAGATTACAGTTATGAAGTAGCAACGAAAATCATTTTATGGTTGGGGGGTCACCACAACATGAGGAACTGTATTACAGCGTCGCAGCATGAGGAAGGTTGAGAACCACTGTTAAGGTATATGAAAGGTGTAAGATTTTGGAAAAGATATTTGGGTATCAATTGTGAAAGGTTTGGAATCATAGATCTCTGCTTTAGGCTAACCTGCCAAAGTGATGGGGTAAAGAAGGGGACTGGAAGGAAAAATAATCGTTCATCCAGCACTTCCTCCAATTGGAGTGATTGTGTAAATAAAATGCTTGTTAAAATACAATTTTAGGCCCCCAATTTAATCCTGAGTCAGAATTGTCAAGGCCATAGCTTAGGAGCATATATTTTCAGGAATTTCTGCACATTTTTTTATGAGCAACTCGCTTGGGAAAGATGCTACTAATCCAAAGTAGAGCTACTGAGGGCTAATCAACTAAGTGGAGGAAACACGTATCATAGGCAACGAAGTGGATATGAGAGAGGCTTCCGAATCTCTGTCTTTAGTCCTGTGAAGAAACTTCTGCTTTGTCTGAGGGGGGGGGTCAGCAAGGGATCTGAAGCCAAGCAGACAGGACAAAGAATCTTAGCTCTGGCGTTTTCCAGCTGTCACTGGTTTGTCAGTTTGTCGTACTGTGGTGGCTTGCGATGGCACAGGTATTTCAAATACGAGCAGGGTCACTCGTGGTAGACAGGTCTCAGTGGACCTTCTAGCATGGGACTCAAACTCATTGCCTTGGACAGGACAGGGTAGAACTGCCCCTGTGGGTTTCCAAAACGGTAACTTTTTACAGGAGTAAAAAGCCTCATCTTTCTCCCACAGAGCGGCCGGTGGTTTTGAACTGCTAACCTTCAAGTTAACAGCCTAACATATAACCAGTGCACAAACCACCAGGGCTCTAATTCAGAAACTTTTGGCCAGTGAAAACCTTAAGAAGAACAGCAGAACACTGCCTGGTGTGGTGCCAAAAGATGCGTCCCTCCAGCTGTCAGGCGCTTGAACAAGAGTGGGCCCAGACATAGCAGCGATGGTGAGGGTGACGCAGGGCCAGGCAGTAGTCCCTTGTGTCGTACATCGGGTCAGAGCTGACTCAACACCACCAACTAAGAGCAAGTTCTCCAATAACCTTAATTGTAAAATGAGAAAGTAAAGTACCTGACAGGGCAAGATCTAACAGGCCACCGATGATAGCTCTCATCTAAATCCAAACAGCAGATTTACCAGGGAAAAAAATTTATGCGCATACATTCGTTTTCCAACTATCTCCTTTGCTCTATTTCCATAGTAACGAAGATAACATTCAATTCATGTTAATCCTTCTACCTGGCATCCTCCAGCACTCTTTGAAAGATTCTCATCCTTTAAGGAGCAGTGCTAAGACTTCTCTAAGTTTACTATCAGACTTGGGCATCCCCTCTCTACTGACGCAGAGTCAGCCTGCTCACCTTTGGGGTCCCACGTACTTAGTTACACTGTATTGAGCTTGTCTCCACTGTCATGCTGGGAGCACCTTAAGGACAGGGGCCATGCCCAACAACAATGCCTGATGTGGGATGAATATGTGGGATAAACTGTGCTATGTGCTTAGTTTTTTATGACTGATCCTCATTTTATTGTTGTCATTTTCACTAATGGCTCAGATACGGAATGCAAGGTTTAAACACAAACACAAGAGAATATCAGTGTCTCTATTTTTTTTCATTAAATACTTTTATTGGGGGCTCTTTCATCTCTTATCACAATCCATACATTCATCCAGTGTGTCAAACACATTTGCACATATGCTGCCATCATTTTCAAAGCATTCTCCTCCCACTTGAGCCCCTGATATCAGCTCCCCATTTTCAATGTCTCTTTTTGAATATTCCTGTGTTGTACCAATCTCATGACTTATTGTTGTTAAAACTTTATTTTTCTGTTGAATCAAGCACCATCTACCAGTTAATTAATTTTTATCTTTGTGGTAGTTACATACTCTGGTGTCA